TCTCTTTCTCTCTCTGCAAATAACAGAAAAGTTGGACACAAAAATTACAAAAGTTAAAAATTTCAAACGCATGCTCAGACTTGCGAAATAAATAAAAAAAAGAACACGAAATACCTACAGCGTACAATCCACAAACACACTCAAACAACAACATACGATTCAGAAATACAGAAACATATTTAGAATCATAAAAACACACAGACACACACACACACACACAAACAATCATAAATTTGGAAATTCGGCGTGTTACGACGTGTTAAAATAAAAAAAAAGAAAGAAACAAGATTGTCCGAAGTGTCAAAAAAGCATGCAAAATACAAAGAGACCTATTGGTAGGTGTAGATATATAGATACCAACACACATGTAGGGACGGATTTGCATGCATTTGCATAGAAGCACGTACTTCATATTTATTTTTGCGAATGCAAATACAAAGATGTATGAATGCCAGTCATACATTAACACACTTACACATCTTGGAACAACTTGACAGAGTTATGTCATTTCACTAGACAAATTTTCTCGAGTTGGTAACGTAAATAATTTTGTTTCTGCTTGGTTTAGTGTTGTGGATAACTTTTGTTGCTCATTTCTCGTGTTCATCTCACATGTTCATCCTTCCTGTTCATTCTCGTGTTCATCCAACATGTTCATCTCACAAGTTCATCCTCCGTGTTCATCTCTTATGATCATCTTTCGCGTTCATCACTTATGTTCATCATTCGTTTTCATTCTCGTGTTCATATCACATGTTCATTTTTTGTGATTTTTTCTTATGTTCATCCTTCGAGTTCATCACACATGTTCATCAATCATGTTCACCTCTTATGTTCGTCTTCATGTTGATGTTGCTGTTCATTCTACATAATTCTACTTATTTCTCACCTGGCCAAATAAGTGAACACATTTAGAAAACCTCTCTTGGTGATAGAAAAGAGAAAGAAGGTTCATAAAAATTGCAGATTTCATCATTAGTGAGTACAGGACGAGTCTTTAAATCGTCTCAACTTTGAAGAATTTTAGGACAAAATATGCCAGAAACAACACGTGAATGAACATCATGTGCAAACTTAATGAAGCAGCACCTGTTCATACATTTTTGTTCAACAAAATGACGCTACCAAAAAAATTTTTCCAAAAAGTTTGGAAACTTTGAACACATTGACACAGAAAAAAAAACCATCTTGTGTCGTATCATAAATTAAAACATATGAATATTTATAAGATGAGGTACCTGACATGTCATTAATATTAATCAGTTCAATTTTGCTGAGCCAAAACTAGTCAGAGATTCTATCTCTTGGAATGATTTAGATAAGATGTGTACATACGCATCTGTAGCCCAAGCTTTATCTACTGAAATTTATTAATTCTTTTCATTTTACTTATCGGTCACATGTTGCATGGAAAAATTTACTGTGAATTAATGAAATCTCTGTGTGTGTGTGTGTGTGTGTGTGTGTGTGTGTGTGTGTGTGTGGGTGGGTGGGTGTAAAATTTAAATGAAATGGATGGATGGATGGATGGATGGATGGATGGATGGATGGATGGATGGATGGATGGATGGATGGATGGATGGATGGATGGATGGATGGATGGATGGATGGATGGATGGATGGATGGATGGATGGATGGATGG